TGCTGAATGTAACTTTACAGTATAATTATTACAATTAAAATGAAAATATGCAAGTTAAAACAATGCTGATCATAATAAATATGTCTTAAAATTTGAAACAATTAAAATAATGACGAATTTCAGACATTAAAAAATTTAATGAAATATAACGTGATGTTTACTTTAGTTACTTAAATAACATAAGTAAATAAAAATAAATAAACTTAAATAAGGCTCTAAAACATCAATGGTAAAAATTCCGGCACGCGCTGACTTAAAAAAAAAAAATCAAAATTTCGAACGTGTGAGAAAGGATTAAGAATTTTTTTTACAAATAATTACAAACTACTTTGATCTTTCGTCTTAATAATAACATAAACATTTTGACGATAAATATTTGTTTTTTATTAAATTTATGGTCTTTTTTCATCATGCTATGCTGTTTGTTATCGAAAAAGTAGAAGTGCCTATGTTTAGGTTATTTACTTTAACGCTACATTCAGGCCGAGTGGTTAGAACGTTCACATTCTGACAATATGACCCGGGTTCGAATCTCACCATGGTCGATTTGTCAAAAAGAAGACTTCCTGATGTTATCGAACTGAAGGGGTCGATCCCAGCGTGCGGCACCTTTCAGTGAAATTGGGTAGACAGAACCTTTGGGTGCCGTCGATAGCTTTGCTAGCACGAAGTCACAGGTCATCGTGGCCGAGAGCTTGAGCGTGCTGGCCTTGTTTAAATTTTTGATCATGCTAGATAACACGATCTTTCCAAGAAACTGTAACTAAGGTCTGCTCAGCATAATTTCAGTATAAACCATAGCTGCTGAATAAATACAAATGCGCCTGAGCGAGAGTCTGCAATAGGGATTGGCTAGCCACCCTAGTAGACGGGTATCCTCGAATACGAGTGGCCAGCTATACATACTATATACATTCAGCAGCAATATGCTTTTTATTATTAATTTTTGTAAATGAATATTAAGTATAGTTCAGTATAAAATCCAACACTGTTTCTTTTTAAAATGTAATTTTAAACAGTTGTCTCAAATTATTTTTGGTTCACAATCATTTATTATCTACATTACTGTCTGTCTCGGTAACCTCATGAACTATCTCGTGACCTGAATACAAGTCCGCATATTGTGCAACAGCAAGGATCTCGGGACATTGCAACAGGGATATTTGATGACACTTTTCACCGTTGTCTTTCGATTCTTAGCCGGACAATACGACTGGTTTCGAAATATCTGATACCACTCTGGCACAAATATCTCCAGTTATTTCTATCCAGAGCAACACACGCGAAGTTAGTATGAGGCACATTGACAGATGAGAATTTACTCTTTATCATGTCTTTATACCTTAGCCACAGCCGTCCAACTCACCTTTGTCCACTGTCAAGCTCGTTATGCATACATAAGTGGACACCAAGCAGCGACAGTTTAAAGATTGCGTTCAAGCATAAAATAGACTGTCACCGCTTGGTTTTGATCTCAATGTACACATATTTACATACGCTCTATACATTGTATTGAGTGCATTGAAGTGGTTTTCTAATCGAACCTTAGATGTGGGACAAGGCCAAAAGTACAGTGCATCCAGTGAGGCTCGAACTCATTATTCAGTCATAAATTTTCTAGTGAGGGAAGCTTGCTAACCATTACACCATGTTAAAGTTCCCAAAACGTATAGGAAATGGTTTCCCACAGCGGGAATTTAACCCGGGCCGGTTAGGTGAAAATCAGGAATTCTAACCACTATATGCGGAGGAGCTGCTTGATAAGTGGCAACGAGTTATTGCAAATAATTGTGAATATATAACTGAATAAAATATAATTGTATTGGGTTCTTCGGAAAATCCATGCCAATTTTTAAGGGAAATTAAAACACAAAACGAAATTATGCCATTAAATATTTATTCAACTAAATAGGAAACCATTTTGTTGCACAACATTTCTCCATTTTTTCCTTCAATTTATTCCATCTTTACAGAATTTCGGTTGTTTCTCGGCAAAGAACTCATTAAGACGGTTTTTTCTGTGATCCAAAGAATTAATCTTTTTTACCCTTGAGATTATTTTGCATGGACCTGAATAAATAAAAATCCGAAGGATCAATATCTCGTTAATATGGCTGGTAGGGTAACACATCCCAGCCAAGCTGTAAAAAATTTTGCTGGATCGCCAAAGAAACGTGAGATTTGACACTATCCTGATGGAAAACAACACTTCCTATTCGCCAATTCTGGATTTTTTCTTAAATTGCTGTCTTTAATTCGACCAATCGGGAGCTGTACTTTTCAGAATCAACAGATTGGTTATCTTGCAGAAGCTCAGCGTACAGGATTCTTTTCCAATTCCACAAAATGCACAGCATGAATTTCTTAGGATGAAGACCTGTTTTTGGGTTAGTTAAAGTTGGCTCATGTCCCAGCATTTATTTCGCTGAACATTGTTGTAAACGATCCATTTTTCATCACCTATCACAATTTGCTTAAAAAAGGATGCATTTTCATTGCATTTATGATACCAGCCTTAGGACCATATAACCAAATAACACCATGATTACGGTCACATAACCAAATGATATCAGGATTACGGTCACACAACCAAATGATATCAGGATTACGGTCACATAACCAAATGATATCAGGATTACGGTCACACAACCAAATGATATCAGGATTACGGTCACATAACCAAATGATATCAGGATTACGGTCACATAACCAAATGATATCAGGATTACGGCCCGTTCACTTTGAAACAAGGGTTCTCGTACGATCACCGGTTAAGAAGCGTCGAGCCTGGTCAGTGCCTATATGGATGACAATTTGGGAATACCCGGCGTAGATGTAGAGGTGGTGTAATGGCTAATAGCTCGGAATTCTTAATCGGAGAGCCGAGTTCTAATTCCCGTCCGGTTCGTTATATACACTTAGGCGCAAATACCATTGAAAAAGATATGAATCGATCTTTTTCTCCCCCTAGCTCTTAGTTAATTAATAAGACTTGTATCAATAAACCATTATTATCTATAAACAATCCTTACAATCATTTTCCTGTCTCAGACTTGTAAATCTGAGGTTTATAAATATATTTTCTTGTTTGCCGTATATAAGTGTGAAATTAAAAATAAAACTCTAGTTTTAGGTGATCCCCCTCCTCCAGGCTCTGCCAATTTCTTTATCACGATATTTAATCGTTCTTCGTTCCTAATTTTTTCCATATGTGTCTTTATATGCAACAAAGTAAACTTGATTTCACACAATAGTTTTCTGCTTAATAAATTAAGAACATATTTGTTTTTATTTTATTTACTACTTATTTATTTTATAAATATTTCTTTATTTGCTCGTGAACAATAAAAAATGTTTACTTTACGTTGGTAATGGAAATAGTGAAGTTACCCGTTTCTATACAGAAAACTTTCGGCGTTAATTGACCTCAATTTTTCTGGAAATAGGTTTTTCAAGTCCAGTTATCTTGCACTTTCTAATACTGATAGAAATTTCCTTCCTAACGTTTTGTTTAAGGTAGTGTTGAAGGTCAACATCTTGAATATATCATTTTCTATTATAGTTGATTTTTTTAAATAATTTCATCATAAGCAAGGAAATAAAGCCACTAAGAAGCAGGGTGTTACTGAGTGTGAAAGAATATGAGAAAAAAGAACATTATTAAGAGGAGAAAACAATAAAAGAAAAGAAAGATAAAAGATAATGATTGACATTGCATTTACATTTTTGATGATCAAAGCTAACTGGGAAAGGGCAGAAGAGAGTCCCACAAACGAGACAACATCTTGAATATATCATTTTCAATTATAGTTGATTTTTTTTAATAATTTCATCATAAGCAAGGAAATAAAGCCACTAAGAAGCAAGGGGGTTACTGAGTGTGAAAGAATATGAGGAAAAAATTATTAAGGGGAGAGAACAATAAAAGAAAAGGAAGACAGAGGTGGTGTAATGACTAATGGCTCGGATTGACATTGCATTTACATTTTTGATGATCAAAGCTAACTGGAAAAAGCCAGAAAAGTGTTCCACAATCGAGAAGTGCGAGAGAAGAAACTACAAGGATAGAACTTATAGTTGATATCTAGTAATGTCAACTGTAAAATGATGATATCGAGCTGCCGATCTAGCAGTGCGCTTAAATACGTAAAATCAGATACCAAAGAGAAAAGCTCATCAGAACGATTATCATGAAGATGTTTCTAGAAAACGTAGAGGGACTCCATGTTATAGTTGTGGGAAAGTGAGTGAATATCAGGACCGATATAATTGTACTTTCTTATTTGGATCAAAAATCTCTCGCTACAAAGCAGAAGCACCATTGTTTATAAAGAAAATGGACAGCATATGATCCGCGTTTCAGTTGTTGTTGCAAGTAATGTGTTTGTTTTTTATTTTTTTTTATTTAGTACAGTTCTTTGGGATTCTGTAGCGACAGTCTACAAAAACTGATTAGTATAGTCTTCTTTAAGACCTGCCAGTTTCATTTTTTGAAACCATTTCGTGAACTGTGGTAGGATTCATTGACCAAGATACCCTAGCCAACGTAAAAGAATGTAGCTATAACGGACTGTACCTATTTATAATGAAACCGGTATAAGTTGTATGCCGAGAAAATAGCTTGCTTTGCCGTGATAGCTTTCTGTAACTTAATAGTAAAACTTCAAAGCGGATACCAATATTAAAAAAGAAGATGCAATTTTACTCCCTATCGGACGATCTTTTTCTTTTAGGAAGACTTTCTATCTTTATTCGTTGATTTGCTTTTTACGGTTTAACAACCTTTTGCGGGTTAATTAAAGCCAGACATATTTTTAGATTGTAAGAATGTTTTGGAGATAATAATGATTTACTGACGCAATTTCTACTAATTAACCTACATCTGGGGGAGAAGAGGCATATGCGCCTAAGTGAATATAACGAATCCGACTGCAATTAGAACTCATCTCACCGATTAACAATACCTAGCAATTATCCATTACACCACCTGTACATCCAAGATTACATCGCCTTGTATTCCCAAGCTGTCACCCACCTAGGCACTAATCCAGCTCGACGTTGCTTAACTTCTGTGATCGGACCAGAAGCGGTGTTTCAACGAGATATTGCCCTAAGCTTTTGTAGATTGATCGCGTAAGAAATATTTTATGGGCACCAACCTCTTTTGAAGTCACTGGTCATAATGCTTTGGCTCAACATTGCTTATTATTTCGATATTTATTAAGCAGATAACGTTTCTTAACTCTCTGTTTGTTTTTGGCAACGGGGCAGATGGTGATGGAGAAGAGCAATGACGTCATATCCTCGAATTAAAGAAACGTCAGATAAATGAAAATATTTGTATGTATTACTATAAGTATACAATCAATTATTTCTAACCGTTTATAAGTAAAGATTTTTGAAAGACGGAGAGACTTAAAACCGGATCCATTTTTCTTGAATACACATTCTTTTTGTTTAAGCTCATAAAAATGAAAAAAAAAATTAAATACTGTAAGAAGTTTAAATAAAAAATAACAAGTAACCTTTTTTTTCTAAACAAGTCAATGCAATTAGGCGTCGTCTGAAAAGCTTAATCTTTGTATGACCAATCAGGATAGATACGCCTATTAACTTACTTACAGGGTAAGGATTACGAAGACAGTACAGTCAGTTGAGCAGGAACTAAGATAAAATGTTCATCGTATTTTTACTTTTTTTTTTAATCATTTCACCTCAAGCAAGGTGATAATACCACTAAAATATCAAGGGTTACTTGTATCAGGAAGAGAAGAAGAAGAGAATTAGAAGACAGATGATGATTGATATTGCATTTAAATCTTTGGAGATCGTATAAGTGATAAATTCTAGAAAAGAAAATTTTTGAATAGAAAAGACGGTTACATCTAGCTACTTCAAAATTAAAAAGATGAGACCTAATCGCCAATCTAGTACTACGCTTAAATTCATATGGTCGAGGCACCAAGGAGGAGAGCTCGTTAGTACAACTGACATAGAAAAGACAGAGAGAAGCCACATGTCGGCGCTGGAAAAGGGATTAAAAGCGAGATGCCAGGTCAGGATCGATGACATTACAGATCTGTTATTGATTTTTCTTGAGAATCTAAAGATATATAGCCAGAGAACTAGGCTAGATATGGCAGCAATATTTAGTGTACGAACGATGCAGACATATATGGCTAGGAGCTGCACAGTCTTCGCTTTCTACTCTTGATAGAATCCAAAAGCGTCATCTCCGCGTCCTTGTCTGTGATTAATTATTTTCAACCTTACAGCCATTTTCTCACAGACAAGACATCGCAAGCCTCTCACTGCTTTGCCGCTATTTCCATGGCAAGTGTTCAAATGAACTACACTCAGATGAAATACAGTAGTAACAGTGATAATCTTCACGCCTAAGACTCGTTATACCACGCCCATTGTAGCGAAACACCCTCATTAAATTCTTATTCCATTGTTGAAATATAAGTTCCACTCGAACAACTTCTCCCCACGAATCACTGATTTGTGGAACCGACTCCCAAGATAATGCTTCCCCGATCACTACAATCTTCAAGCTTACTATTAACCATTATCTTCCACACGTCCTGCTTGGTCTCACGCTGTCCACTGACCTGAAGTGGAACAACTACAGTGGATCTTCATCTGCCACAAGGAAAGTTGGTTCTCTGTGTCGCGCCAGAAGATTTTTCTCGCCTGAGTCTATCCTTCAAATCTACAAATCAACCATTCGTCTTTCCATGGAATACTGCTGCCTTATATGGAGTGGTGCTTCCGTTGTTCATCTCGAGGTCCTCGACAAAATCCAGAGATGGATATGCAACGTGATTGGTCCTGATCTGGCATCTCGTCAGCAGTCACTTTCTCACAGATATGCTGTCTTTTGTCTTTTCTACAAGTATTTTCATGGCAACTGTTCCGACGAGCTACTTTCACTGCTTCCCAAACTGCATGAATTTAAGCGTGCTACTAGGTTGGCATGTCGGTCCCACCCAGTAACTGTCGAAACGGCTAAATGTAGTCATCTCTTCTACTCCAACAATTTATTATCTCGCACCTCCCGTCAGTGGAACTCTCTTCCTATTAGTTGCTTCCCTGATAGCTATAATCTTCAAATATTCAAATGTAATGTCAATCGACATTTTCTGATACCTCGACCTTGAACACTGTTCTTCTCTTTATGCTTTGCTCAAACACTCCTCTTTACTCTCTCAGTCTATGTAACCCCTTGCGTGCTAGTGGCACTCCCGCCTTGCTTGAGGTGATTTGACTAAAAAAAAAAAAAATCTGCATAATCTATGCCTCGTATTCGAGTGAAAGATTTATAAATGTGTAAGGTGGATTTGGCAAGAGCTTTACAATGTTTTGTCGTGTGGCGACAGGTGAATAAAATAAGAAATACTTTTGTCCCATTAATTTCTTTTTCTTGTTTTCCTTTATTGTATTTAATCACCTTTTTATTGTGTTATTAATTCTATTAGAATATTTCCTTTTCTCCACTTTTTTGTTCCTTATTCTCTGACATTTCTTCTTCTTTCCCATTTCTTTCTTCCCTTTCTGAACTTATTCTTTCGTTACATCTATTCCTTCTTCTCTTTTTACTACTACTAATTCGTCTAGGATGTGCGGGTGGTGTAATAGCGGCTCAGAATGAGAAATTGGAGAGTTGCGTTCTAGTTCCAGTCGAATTCGTTACATTTACTTATGCTCACATATTACTGGTTAAGGAATGAATTTCTTCTCCCCTTACCCATGGGTTAAATAGAAGTGCAGACTAGGCTTCTTAATACTGGCTAGCAACCTGTCTAAGAGAAGGAAAATTCTGCATTCAAAATCAGTTGGGCAAGAGGTTAACAACTGACTTGTTATGGAAACCGCAGAAGCAATACCGTGGCTGCTGAGAATTGTGTAAGCCCCATACTCTCTCGGGAGTCTGCCGTACTTGTGTGTGTGTGTGTGTGTGTGTGTTCGTAATTTTCTCTTTCCTTCTTCCTGTTGCATCATCATCATTTTCTTTTGTCTTCCTTCCTTCATTCTGAGGCCGTTCTTTCTTTCCTTCTTCTTCTTCTTCTTCTTCTTCTTCTTCTTCTTCTTCTTCTTCTATTACTACTACTACTACTACCACAACTAATGCTACTAGTACTACTACTGTTTTTAAATGTTCTGTCCATTCAGGACGTAGGTAATAATGACTCTCCACAGATACTGTTTCTTCATTATCTGTAATTTGTAAAATAGAAAAACTAGGCAGGTAAATAATGGCGATATCTTAAAGAAGAGCACATACTTACTAGAGAGAGAGAGGGGGGAAAGAGAGGGAGAGAGAGAGAAAAAGGAAGAGAGAGAGGGAGAGAGAGAGGGAGAGAGAGAGGGAGAGAAAGGGTAGAGGGAGAGAGAGGTAGAGAGAGAGGGAGAGAGAGAAAAAGGAAGAGAGAGAGAGAGGGAGAGAGAGAAAGGGAGAGAGAGGGAGAGAGGGAGAGGGAGAGAGGGAGAGGGAGAGAGGAGAGGGAGAGGGGAGGGGTGGAGGAGATAGATATACAGGGTGCCCCAAAAATGTATGCACTCTTTACATAGTTATAAAGTCAGTGTTTATTAAAATACATCTCATTTTCAAACTTAAATAGAATCTACTGACATTATTTTATTTTTCAACGCCTGTTTTCAAACTGACGTCCCTTCTGCTCCAGTTACTGTTGACAACGGAAAGCAACGGAATCACAAACATTACCAAATTTCATTTGTTATTTTTGCACATTCTTGTTCAATGGCTGCTCTCAATTGAGCGACTGTTGTAGGTTTCATAGCTTAGACTTTGTCTTTTAAGTATCCCCATGAAGAAAAAGTCTAGTGATGAACACGGAAGGTATTCTACAAAATGCCTCCGTCCAATCCACCTGTTTGGTAAGATCTTATCAAGTTAGGATTTAACTCCACTCTTCGGTCTGGATCATCGTCATTAATAGAATCGACTAATTCTTGAAATATAACTTTTGCATTAATAGCGTTTCAAAATAGTTTAGCAGACGATTTTGAAATAAATACGTCATGGCTCGCTTGCCGCACAGATTTACTTGGACTTTCTCTTTCTTGCTTTCTTGGGCTTGTCGATGTCCGTGGTCTTCCGGAACGCTTCTTGTGGACATTATGAACAATTCCATCGACTTCAAACTTATCCCTAATTCGAGTGATGGTAAGTCGTGTTGGTGGATCTGTTTGAAACTGCCTTCTGAACAGTCTATGCAATTCAACTGCCTTTTTACATTTCCAGTGGCATTTTAAAATGAATTTACCGTATTTAAAGTTTAGTTTGACTGACATCATTAATTCTAATGGGTTTAACCTGGAAAGAAAAACATACATCAATTAAGCTATCAGCTGTTAAAGTGTGTGTATTTTTGGGACACCTCGTATCATATTTCAGATGGGCTGGTCATGTCATTAGAATGAAGGATGATCGGATGCCGAAAATCCTCATGTATAGCCAATTTTTTTCATGTTAAGAGTAATGTAGGACGTCCTTAGTTAAGCTTCAAGGATAATTTTAAATACAATTTAAATGCTGCAAACATTCCTATAGAGAAGTTCGAACTTGCTGTTGAAAACCGAGCAAACTGGAGAAATACCTGCTACCGATGTGTAACTAATTTTGAAAAAATCGTCCCAACCATCTTAGAGAATTAAGGATTAACACTAAATCTCGGGCTAATACATCAGCCCTTATGACGGTCAACCCTTCAGTATGCCATTCGTGTGGATTTGTTTGAAATCCCGTGCAGGATTGTTGTCTTATAGAACTGAAAGACACTCATTCGTCGAAAACGACGGGAGAGTCCATCACACACACACACACACACACACACACACACACACACACACACACATATATATATATATATATATATATAAAATATATATATATATATAATAAAAAGGCTTAAACACTAATATTCCATGGTCATGATTTATTCCATTGGAATCGTAAATACGACCCAATTCATCAGACCTACAAATTCAAAAAGAAAACAGAAAAAACAACTCCGGAAATAAAAATAGAATTTAGAGAGAGTCTAAGTATGAGAGTGTGGGACGAATGTTAGAGCTAAAGAGAGGGGTAACAGACGAGTGAAGGTGGGAGATTAAAACTTAACAGAGAGAAGTTTTAGAGAGGTGAGTTGAAGACGGTTTAAGTGAGAGAAATATGAATGTTGTCGGATGTCTAATACATTAAAGATGTAACGGGAAAGGATACATTTTGTGGTGACATACACACACAATAGACGCATCACAAAACGTATTTACGATTCCAATGGAATAAATTATGACCATGGAATATTAGTGTTTAAGCCTTTTTATTATATCCTTACTCTGTCCTGGACATTGAGTTCTACCTGGATTCTATCCTCTTGGAATTTTTATTTAAAAAATATACATGTATGTGTATGCACCTATGTATATATATTTATATATTTTGCATATGTATGTGTATATTTACCACTAATATTATCTATCTATCTATCTATCTATCTATATATATATATATATATATATATATATATATATATATATATATATATATAAGCGACACAAAACAACAAATGAAGCAAACCGATAAGTTTTATATAACCCTGGATAACGCCGAGGCCCAATGCAAATCGCAGGAGATACCCTCATCATAGAGATCTAAATACTAAAGTAGAAAAGCAACGTGAGATAGTTGGCAACTACGGACGAGGATTCCGTAACTAGCATCCAGTAGAACACAGTAAGAGAACCAATAATGACCAACAGCTAAGAACACCAAAAATTCTTGTGGATATAGAAAAGATGACGACGAGGAGGAGGAGGAGTGACGAAAAACCAGATCAACTGCATAAGAATGAATAAAAGATTTAGAAATTCAGTTCAGCAATGTAAAACTATTCCAGGTTCCGACTGTGAGTGTAACCACCAAAGTGAGACTTAAAATTAAAGAAATTAAAGAAAACAAAAGCAACGCCCAAATTCCAATACGATAGAATCCGGGACAACTCAACTTTCAAAGAGAAGTAAGTTGACAGAATTAAAAGCAAATATAATAGCGTAGATGGAACCGAATATTTAAAATGAAACACATTATGTGTGGCTCTAGGGACATCGGCAAATGAGTTCCTGCCAAAGGAAGAGAGACAAGAAAAACGTAGATGGCAGATGAAATTCTTGGGATGAGCAAGGAATGCCAGTGAATGGTACAGAATACAAAATATTAAACGCAAACATTAGGAACAGATCCAGTCAGGCTAACGATGAACGGTTCAACGAAAAGTGCGCAGAGATGCGACAGACAGGAAAAAAACAAAAAATGAAATATAAAGACGGAACAAGTCAACAGTATTCATAAAATCTAAAGAAGGAATCTCATAATAGAAATAGAAATGATCCAAAGATAAAATGAATGTATCGAGGAATTCCTCCAAGACGAATAAAATCAATTTTTATTATTACAGTGTAACCCGGATATAAGAGACCCGGATATAAGAGAAACCCGAATATAAGTGAGATTTTCTCAGGTCCCAAATTAGAGCCTGTGTTAATGCATATAAAATAGACCAAACCCGGATATAAGAGAAACCCGGATATAAGAGACTTCTTCTCCGGTCCCGACAACTCTCTTACATCCGGGTTACACTGTATTACTATTATTATTGCCTTTGATTTCTGTTGTATGCTCATTTCTTTCCGGATACTAACCAGAAACCCAAGTCCAGAAATGGCTTCAAGACATTTTCCACTGATCAATTTTTCACCCGTACTGCACCACTAAATAAACCAAAGGTCACACACATTTTACATAGAAGAATCGGAGAGCCAAGTTCGAATACCAGTCGAATCCATTACATTCACTTACGTGCTAATACCCTTGGGAAAGGTATTAATCCTCTTTTTCTTTCTTCAGCTATAGGTAAATAGCAGGACAGACTAGGTCCTATATCCTTGGATGGCAACTGGTCTAGGAGGAGGACAACTCTGAATTCAAAACCTGCGGAGGGTTGTTTGGGGACCAGTGCACCAGATCTTTGTATTCGGCTCTTTAAAAATGTGGTTAGTTCTGCACAAAGCCCTCGCCACTATAATCAATGTACTGGTGTCTGGGCTGTCAGTTCCTAGGAACTGAGGTGCTTGACCCCCATACGTCGAATACGACGGGAGAATCCACCAAATCTCTTCGTAATGCGTGAGCTGAACTTGGGAGTACAGTTTTTGTATTTCTTAAAGACATGGGCTACCAGGAATCCCTTCAATGAGTCTATCGGAAACTTTTCCAAGCATTTCTAGGGCTCTAACTACAAGTGGAATTATTGATGTTCCCACGTGTCACGTTTTTGAGATTTCCACTACAACATTCTTGTCTTTTGAAAATCTTCAAATATATGCAGGCACTGCCATGTCAATAAGAAAGCTCATTCTACTCGTGTGGTCTCTGATCGCGATAACTTTGATTGCTATCGCTCTCTGTGGATTGTAAAATCCCATAAATTTGTTATAGGTTCTATGTCTGTAATCAGATATGGGTGACGTTCACACCAATTTTCTTGCAGTTTCCTTCCAGTAAAAGTTATATATTTTCCAGTGCTGATATTGTCTCACACTATCATGCAGCGTTTTATATTCTATGGTTGCTAACACTGCAATCTTATACAAGATGGTCAACATATTTCTGGATATTTATCACAGATTCTGCATTTCGGCTCAGTACAATTTTTCAGTATGTGATAATTTCTAGTTAGAAAGCATTGGTCCTGTACAGCAAGAATAAAACCTTCAGACTCAGCTTTTAATCCCGCACTACGTAACCACTGATTGGTATGGGGTTTGTCTACATTATCTTGTTTGGTACGGCCAGATTATTGACTATGAAGAGGCTTATCTTGCAATCGTTTGTGCATTTGCTACATTGCATTTGCTTTCTTTTTTTAGGTTCTTCGCCTCTGCAGTAGTTATATTATGGTATACTTGAACTTCTTCACCCGCTTGAAATTTCCTTTCTGTATTTGTTGGCTTCCTTATTATTATTATTATTATTATTATTATTATTATTATTATTATTATATTTCGATTTCTGCTATGGTCACTCTACCTACCAAGTCTGTGAGAAGACCTAAGGGAGGTAGTGGTGTGTTGTTATGGCTACATTATATGATTTGTTTTTCTACCTCCCATAACATCATTAGCGTTACATGGGAAAAGTTCTTAGTATGTGGGCTGTACTTATTAAGACATTTTTTGTATTTCCCTTAGGATAGGATTTCCAGGGATTTTTTCAATGTTTTGTTACCTCCAATGACTGGTACTATTCTTGTTTTCAATTTCCACTTTTTTTTTCTATTCTGATTTCCAGCACTTTACACTTCGATAGTTTTTCAATTTCCTTAGTTGTTATGTTACAGTTCGCTGGACAAGCTATATCAATTAGTAGGCAAGTTTTTTTTTTCTTTTCGGTTTTTGACAATTATGTCCGACCTATTTGCTTCAGTCTTTCTGTCTGTAAAAATGGTATAATCCTATAGAATTGTCTTCTGTTTCTGTAACCGGTGCTGGGTAATGGTCATATCAGTGTCTTTTCCAAACTGTTTGCACATTGTCCAGTATAAATATTGCCCCAGTCTATCATGACGATTTTTATATTCATTTGGCTCATTTACAGAACATTCTGAGATTAGATGGTCCATGCTTTCCTGATATTTGTCACAGAACCTACATTTTGGATCCACACTATTATATATGATATTTGCGTGAAAGTTCCAAGTCAAATGACTCTGGTATTTCGCTGCCCTTTTCAGCCTTTAATCTAGATGCTCGTAATCGTCGATGAGTGTTAACTTTATCAATATCGGCTTTATTAGCCTCGTCCTGGATATTGACCATGAAGAGGTTTATCTTGCCAACGCTGTTTCATCTGTTCAAGAGCTTTATCCTTGGCTTTCTTTTTCATAATTTTTTCTGCAACAATTGCTTGACTTGAGTTCTGTTTTGCATTTCTACGGAATCTACCAGATGTAAATCTCGTTTGTATTTACAAACTTCTTTCATGATTGAATATTTCTTCTTTCTGTTTTTGTGTTTGGTTAACTAATTTTATCATCCAGTCCTTTGTTGTTTCCATGTATGTTAGTAAGCCAATAGTTGATTTTTGGAATAAGTCTTCTCCGACCTTATATGAGGAGTATGTATAGACAGTTTGCATCAGCCTTTGGATGATGCATCTTGTTGTTGTTGTTGTTGCTGTTGTTGTTATTATTATTATTATTATTATTATTATTATTATTTCCTTTGTTTTCTGCTGTATACCTTGTCCCAATCAGAGACCTAAAGTCAGAAATGGCATTATGAAAAAAATAAATAACAAACAATCTGGGTGCACACATTTTACATAGATAAAGCCCTTCATACGTTGTGCTTGTAAGAAAAATGTTTTTGTGTTACTTTAAGGCATTGTGATGTCAAGAATCCCATTCAATGAGTCTATCACAACCGTTTCGATTCATTAGGTCGCAAAAATCTTTTTCTCGAATTTGCGGGAGTAGTGAAGGGGGTTATTATTGCTATTTTTTAAATGGTCCCAAAATAACACGTGGTAGGTGTACAGCTACGCCTACCAAGTATTTTGGCGGTATTTGTCCTAGTAATTATTGTTTATTCAACAAATCTTCTGATGGAATTTTAGTGGTTGCAAAGTATATATAGGATTTAATATTCCTAACCTAAACCTAAAAACCTAACATTCTGTTTCAAAATTTACATGGCTTACATTCATGAAAAATTCTTTTTCTGACAATGCCTTACTGAAATGTAGTGCATCTAATGCACTCGTGTATTTGATGCCATGAAATATGCTACTAGCAAGTAATCGCATACTCCTGCTTCGATAGTAAGGTTAATCAGTCCGACAAGGTCAAATTGGCAGACGAAGTCAAAAACGACGCTAAGACAATCGTTAACTAGGGCAAAACTAAACTTCTCTCCGTTAATCATCTGAGAGACCACTCTCCAACATCCAACAGCATGGCTAATGCTAACTTTCAGGAAAATGACTCGTTGTGCCTTCTCGGGTTGACGTTCTCTGCTGACATGTGTTGTTCATGATGACGGTCGTCTTTGAGTATAGAATCCAGAGGTTAGCAGTGAATATTTCGAAGACAGTAGGGAAGCGTAGTTCAGGTTAGCAGTGGATATCCCGGGAAAGTAGCAGAGCATAGTTAGTCCTTCTGGTTCTCTTCGCCTGACAAGCTGGCACTGGACATTCGGATAGAGTAAACAAAATGGCCGCCTTTATACACGACGGATTGAATATTCTACGTCTTCTGATTGGTTAACCCTTCTCTTGGGGGAATATAAGATGAGTCAAGTCATTTTGACTGGCTCACTAGTACATAATAGCCAAAAAACTGCAACAACCTGAAGTAGAAAGACTATATTGAATCAATTGCTAGGTAAGCTGTTAAAAAATTTGGTTCACTGTGTTGTGCGAGACAATTTTTCTCTCCAGAATCCATCTTATATATCTATAAGGTTACCGTGCTTAGAATACTGCTCCCACATATTGTTCGGTACCGTTGCTATTTACCTTGAGCTGCTAAATTGCTAAAATCCAAAGAAGAATCAGCAAGATTATTGGTCCTGATCTGGTAGACCGGCTTTAGTCACTTAACCACCACTGTAAGGGTTTCTCTCTGTGTCTTTCCTATAAATACTTTCATGGTAATTGTTCACTATGGTACGTTTTTGAATTTAAGCACTGTACTAGATTGGCGTCGAGATTTCATCAATTCGTAGTTGAGTTTTCTTATACTTCTCACTTCTGAAACTCCCTTCCGGCTCAACACTTTCAAGGGTAGGTTTTTCTATTTTTGCACTTTATCGATGAAGAGCTCGTGAAAGTAAAATCTCATTTGTGTTTTTTAAAAAAACTTTCTTTGATTTTTATAAAGAATATATATTATTGGTTTAAATATTTCAAAGTGCCGCCGAAAAATACTTGCAAAGTCTGTTCACATCTATCTATCTATCTATCTATCTATCTAGCTCTCACTGCTCCTTATCTATCTATATATCTAGGTCTGTTCACTTCTATGTATCAATCATTCTATCTATCTATCTATCTATCTATCTATCTATCTATCTATCTATATCTGATCATATCTCTCTCCCTGTATCTATCTTTTAGTGCTCATCTATCTCGTGCTGTTCATATCTATCTATCTATCTATCTATCTATCTATCTATCTATCTATCTATCTATCTTCACATCTCTCTCCCTTTATCTATCTAGCTCTCACTGCTCCTTATCTATCTATATATCTAGGTCTGTTCACTTCTATGTATCAATCATTCTATCTATCTATCTATCTATCTATCTATCTATCTATCTATCTATCTATCTATCTATCTATCTCTGTTCATATCTCTCTCCCTGTATTTATCTTTTAGTGCTCATCTATCTCGTGCTGTTCATATCTATCTATCTATCTATCTATCTATCTATCTATCTATGTTCACATCTCTCTCCCTGTATCTATCTTTTAGTGCTCATTCTCTATCTATCTCGGGCTGTTCATATCTATCTATCTATCTATCTATCTATCTATCTATCTATCTATCTCTGTTCACATCTCTCTCCCTCTATCTATCTAGCTTTCGCTGCTCCTTATCTATCTATATATCTATCTAGGTCTGTTCACTTCTATCTATCTATCTATCTATCTATCTATCTATCTATCTATCTATCTCAATCTCTTCGTTTATTTGCTGAGTAGATTCAATCAAAGACACTGACGGAAAGAACTGTTGCATAAACAAACAAAAAGTAACGATGGGGCCTAAGTAAATAGCCAAGGGAATGATGTCTGCTCGACGAACGGAACTGCGCCTGTATCACTGCCTCCCCAACAGTCTGCTTAGAGATGACATTCAGAAGTTGAATTAGACTAGAACTAATAAGAACAATTAACTTGAAAAATAAACCAAGATTTTTGGCTATTTTTGTCTTTCGGCCGTTGTGCGTGTTAGGTCCTTGGCAAAATATGCCTTTTGCTTTTCATATTCACTGGATATGCAGATAATTCATACGTTTATACAGCCTTACATAAATACACTGGAATCACATTAATATACATGTGTACCATCTATCTATCTATCTATCTATCTATCTATCTAGCTAGCTAGCTAGCTAGCTAGCTGAGTCTATTCATAGCTATCTATTCATATGTATAGATCTGATCATTATATATGCATCTATATCAGTTTCTTCATCTACGAGGATAAGTCAAAAAGTATCCGCACTTTCGCCATAAATCTTTGTCACAGTAAGAGATAGATCAAGTATCGACCATCATAAAGACTGAAAAATAAAATTGACAAAGATTATTGTTTAAGGTTGACGGACACGCATGTCTTAATTAGTTTTTTTTTTTTTTTTACGAATTGGTCAAACTCAAACTCAAACAAAAACATTGTTTTCAATCGTTATGAGTCTACCGATTGAATAGAATTTTATTATAAACAATTGTCTTGTAAATGGAATTTTTAAAGCATTCTGAATGTAAAAATAAAGAAAAAAGTGTGCAAGACAATAAGAAACACTACCTGCCAAAAAAAGTGAAGTTTTGTTGAAATCGGTTGATAAATGTAGGAAATCCGATCCCATATATAAACGAACACACACACACACACACACACACACACACACACACACACACACACACACACACACACACACAATCTGGGTTTTATACGTATAACTCGATATGAGTTGTTCCCCTTTCATTCTGGCGACAGAATCGTGTTTTCAAATTGATTTCGTGCAAAAACAATTGTCTTTTTCCAATTTTGGCGATGTCAGAACCACCGCAAGTCCTGTGAAGTTTTCTTGAAATCGGTTGAAAAATGTAGGAAATCCGATCCAATATATAAACGAACACACACACACACACACACACAATATGCGTTTTATAATAAGTAAGATTATTGTGATCACGTGATTGAAGTTTGAGCTTGATCTTGTCCTTATTTTTGCCTCTGTTTCAATGTGGACATGGTCGCTTTGCTAGCAGTTTGCCCCAAGGAGGAACAAAAGCTTCACCTAGAGAGCCAGCTTGTAGTTTATAATGTAACTATACCAAGCAAACGTTAGAGTTTCTGGGAGAGGCAGCCTAATCTGGCGTGATCATTATGATCTTGTTTGATTCGAACCAGGTTAGTACATCAACAATTTCGGTCACCATGACTGTGACTTCACGCTAACAAAACCATCGACAACTTCCGAACAGTTTCGACTGTCCAGTTTTGCCCATTAGGCTTGGGTTAACCCGTGGCCTATTTTTTAATCACTTTGCCGTTAGCTGGGGTATAAAGATGAAGACACCAATTCTGACTAATGGACCATGGTGGGATTCGTGCTCGGATCATATGTTCTAAATACTAAAGTTGTAAACAAGGGATTTCAGGTCCACTACGGTTAGATAAATAGATGCATTGATATACAAGAAATGCACTGAAACATTTTCCATTACCGCCTCCTCTTGGAGCTTATCTGTTAGTCCATTATTACTCTGGGCTCAATTCGATTATCACTGCCATCCACATAGTTATGGGCTTGTGCCAAAACTAAGCTCAGCTTATGAAAGAGAAACCAAAGCTTTAGGATTACTGTAAATGTCGGCATAAAGTCGACCTGGCATACTAGTCGAGCGGGCGTACAAGTCGAGCGGGCGTACAAGTCGACCTGGCGTAAAAGTCGACTTCAAGACTCTTAACTTACCATATAGGTCGACGCCCAAACACAGGGTAGGCTACTGGTGACACAAAATTTTAAAATGGCATCATACAAGTTTTTATTTTAAAATAAGTTTTAAGCATTATTAAACTTGATGTTGAAATTTATAAAATAACGTATGTATGATTTACCGCATTGCTTTTTTTTTAAAAAAAAAATTACGTCGTATGTTAGAGTTAAGGTTTTGACCATCAATGCGATATGGTAACATTCCAATAACCTATAAAATAATATTGTCCCATAATAGCACAGTAATTATGCTCTTACGATATATGTATATTCAATAAACTGCCATTATATGTCATTAAACTGTCATTACTCTCATGAAATTGCGTAGATGACATGCATACCATACCTACTATAGTAGTCCTAATATCCGCCTGAGTTAAACGGTGCCTAGGTCAGCGTTTACACTTAGTGTATCAGCAGTTGGACGCGATGTGTGTTGTAGCGTTAATAGGATAGTGAATATATGTTACTATTTTATTATTTTATATTAATTTCTGTTTTAATATGCTAAATATAAGTTTTAGTGGAATGTATTTGTGGCAGCCAGCCTGAGGTACGTTAAGTGGTGTACACTAATTATTAAGAATGCCGTCCCATTTGTTTACTACGCGAAGGTAAAGGTATTTTATACACGCCATATAAGTCGACTCTTAATTTTGGAAATATTTTTTAAGCTTGTGAACTCGACTTGTACACCGCAGTTTACGTTAAGTGAAAAGTATAAACAATATCCGACGTGAAATAGGAGATAAATAAATAAATACGAAGCCTTTTTTTTTCTCAAGTTAACAGAGAAATATTTAGTCGACTCGCTAATGTACCGACGCAGTTCAAACACACACATTGGCTGTTTTCATTGAAAACGGCACAGTTTCCAATTTAAACAAATAAGTGAGTGCAGTAAATTGAGTGCCGAGAGTGAGCTGCATCGATAGAATCGCCATTTCACAAAGACGCACTGTATTGTGAAAGGGGAAAAGGACCCTTCTCACTTTTGCAAGCCACTCCAGAAAAAATATTTTTCTAATCTTTTTAAATACGTAAGTATGTGCCGGCGCGGACGTAAGGATATAGCAGTAATGGCGTATTGACGCACACGCGCATGCACACGCAAAGACACACACATTATACACACGCACGCACACACACAGATATATATATATATATATATATGTGTGTGTGTGTATGGTTAAGAAAGCGTTAACAATAAAAAGAAGAAACCATCTCAGTAATACCAACAATGAACACGGCCATAACTTACTGACCGTGTTTGGAAATTAAAACATTGCTATTGCTACAAAAATCTACATACTCATACAAACAAAATAAAAATACTTGATAATGGCTAATAGATTAGTCGAAAACGTTCGGATCTACAAATAATTTCCATAGTTGTTAATCAGACTGTGCCCAAAATCACTTGCAAGAATGTAAGAAATATATATATATATATTAAAAAACTTAAACGCAGTGACTGACAAGAGACTTATTCAATAAGATATGTATAAAAGAGGTATTACTGGTCAAATATTAAATTATATATATAATCACTGAAAAACCCTTTGAGTTATTCAGCTAAAAACAGAGCAGGTTAAAAGTCGTTTTGTGTCAGGCCCACTGTCTTCACAACTGAACAATGGTGAGATAAAAAATAAAAAAACACTCATTTAAGTCTTCAGTAATGGTACCAACATTCATACTCTGGGTTTATCTTCAAAGTCCACTGAAGGACCCCCAAGAGAACGATGAATAATTTTAAAAAACAGTAGAAAGGAAAATTGGATCAGGAGGTCACAATAGGAAGAGAGATCAGCATTTCAACTTAGAGCTAAAGTGATTAATTAGAAAAAGATCGAAATCAATTCATAAGACGCTTGGCACATGAGAGAGGAGTTTCAGTTATGACAGTTCAAAGAGCAGTGAAAAAAGACTTGAAAATGAAATCGTACGTGAAACGTGTGAGGCACCTTGTTACTCCAACACAGAATGTTAGACGGCTAGAGAGGGCGAAGATCATTTTGTATCAGTTGAAAAATAATCATGGAATAATATATATATATATATATAAAAATATATATATATATATATATGAATTTTATATCAATCCTCCATGAGCTACTAATACTTACTTAATGATGAACATGTCATTTTCGTTTATGATTGATTTCATCACGATTCTTCTGTTAAGCTTGGTGACTAATTATACATTTTTATTCCTCAGGGTCTAATTATTTTATGAAAACTAAACTTGCATTAGGTAAGAGTCGCCTATAATAATAAAGTTCATATGTCTGAGAGTCGCAAGTCATGAACAAAATTTACATATACGTTTTCGTTACATACAAATTAACATAAAATTTACGTCCAATGGAGTCTCTATTCATACCCGGTAAATCATTATAAAGCTTAATTTTTTTCTTACTTGTTTTTTATATTAATTGTGATAAAATAGGGGGCTCAGCCAAAATATTTCCACGAGCCGCACATTAACGGTCAAAGAGCCTCACGTGACTAGCGATCCGCGGATTGGCCTCCCTTGGAATATAACATCAATCAGCTAAGTGACAAATTTTATATTTGCATTAATCCTGCACACACAGACAGACAGCCACACACACACATTTTTATATGTATTCATTCTAATCTGAAGAAGCCTATCTAACGATGGTTTAAACAAGTCAATAAGACAGTTTTCCAATTTGTCTAATACACACACACACACATATATATATATATATATATATATATATATATATATATATATATATATATATATATATATATATATAGATAACTAGACTCGTTTCGAAAAACCCTCGAATTTTTGATTTACTAATCAAATCAATCTCGAGGGAAAAAAGGTTTTAAAAAAAAGAAAGAGCTACAAACATGAACTTCTGCCGACAAAAAAATCGCACAGATGCAGGTCTGAAGCCCAAAGAAAAAACCCCGATACGAGTAACAACTAACTACCAAAAAGAGCTCAATACAACCGTAGATACTAGTATCTATATATATATAGTATATATATATATATATATATATATATATATATATCTATCTATATATATATATATATATATAGTATATATATATATATATATATATATATATATATATATATATATATATATAAATGGAAAGAACGATTCGACACTGTCAGAATACTTGGCTGATTGCCCGAAAATTTTAACATGACTTAGCTATGGGAAATATCTGATAATCTATATCGGTAATTTAAATCCAACTTGCACTCAAGAAATAAGAAGGGCAACATTATCGCAACAATAATCCAGCTGAACTTTGTCTCTCGAGTGCAAGGGTGCGGATTTACAGCCGCGATTATTTTTATCAGAAATTCCCAGACATTAATGTCCACCTC